CTATCCATTGTGTGGTTGGAAAAAGCTAGCTTTACTCTAAAAAAAAACAAAACAAACCCCATGGAAGAATTTATTTAAAAGTCTACCGCTTAAGAAACAGCATGCTAGACCACAGATTGAGAGCATTCAATTTGGACCAGGGCAGAAAACCTTAGGATATGCCCCCAGTGAAGCATTTAAAATGTCATGTTAACAGGATTGAAGTTCCCCCGGGTTTTTTGGTGCTCTATGCCACCATGGTACAAGAAAGAAATTTTGAGCAAAGCAAACCTGCTGGTGGTCAGGACTGGCATTTTAAAGTACCCTGCAGCAGCTACACATCCTTAAACTAGTCTTCAGCTTTTCTTAGTTAGTAGTCGTTATCAACTTATTTATTTATTTATTTAGTAACAGGCACATTAGCCTGGGTTTCACTCTCCATGAAAACTATTTTAACACAAAGCAGATTTGGGTCTTTATTTGTTTTGAACCACAAGCGAAAAAGCAATACATTTAGTTTGGAAGAAGGTTGCCAAATGGATGAAAAAGGCCTGCAAGTTTTCCTTTTGGTTGCCCTTAGCATTTACGGTCAACTTTTCCCAGGTCAAAACCCAAAGTCTGCTCTCAATTAGCCTGGCATAAATCAGAGCAACTCCATTGACTTCAGACAGCTTTTCTGGATATAGAACATTGTGAGACAGAACAGAATTTGGCCAATATTGTCTTTTTTTGTTTTACCGGCACCATGGATTTTTCTCTTTTTGGAAGACTTATCGGTTGACACAAAGCAGATGACTGTGGACAACCTGTTTGATGTGGTAAACAAAAGCAAAGTAACTGCCAAACCAGCTGACGGAGTTAGAAAGAAAAGAAACATGAACACTGTGGGAAGGAGAATGCTGAGGATGAACTTGAACCTTCTACTGATTTTGGTAGTGAAGTCCAAAATAACCAAGAATATTGCCCAAAACACAATTTAGTGCAGTGTAAGAGTGTGACTTTAATCTCTAACCATGTCCCATCAGAAGCAATTCCACCGAACCTGATGGTGCTAATCCACTGTAAAATCAGACATAGACATCTGCAAACACACACAAAGTTTAGATACTAGCAGGAGCAACACAGTAATATTATCATTAATATTGCTACATGTTTTCTATGGGTAAAGAAAATGTAGTGAAGGAATAGAGACTGAAACCCCTTTTGCAGCCTACTTTTCAGAAAATACAGCCCAGCAAAAATTTATTGCAAAATTTTTCCTTCCTTGAGAGGGACTAAGATTATGAACCAAAAGAAGGGCATTAGCAGAAGATAGATCTTTCCTGGATGAACAAACGTTACATTCAGTTTAGAGAGGTAATAAGTAATTTTTATCCATTTGTACAGATTCCTCTCTACAACATTAATGATGGAAGCAGAAGAGACACAATAAGCATTTCTTTTGACAAAAACAGGTGATGGCTGCATCGTATTTTAACACATGATTTTAAAATTTCATTGTAACTTGCAGCAAGGCCTAAACTTATGATGCTCTATTAAAACCCTTTAAACCAATAAATACTTTGCATCAGAAACCTCTTTCCTCTTAAGGTTAATTCAAACTTTATAAATATGTAATTGTACGAGTCATTCAGCTTCACTATTTTTCTGTTTACATGTTAATGAATAGAAGCCATGAAGCTTTTACTTTATTTTTTTGCCCCAGCTCAGCTATTAGGTATAGACTTACTGTTGCATTCATCTGGACTATTTCACTGAAAACTGAGAGACATGCTGGGATATGATAAAGCAGGAAGGCTGGTTTTCCTCTTCCTACCACAACAGCAGATTTGGGTAGATGACGAGACTAAAAATGTGAAGGATAGAATCAGCTTTTCTGAAACACTTGTTTACCAGAAACCCAGCAGGATTTCTGGAAAAGCTAACGGTTTACTAGCTTCTTGTTATGGCAACTTTGAGAATTTCACTGGGCATAGAACTTTTATCTTCAGGTAGCGAAAAATATTCCATGGTATGTAATGTTCAATGGGAAAAACCTCATTTGCTAGCTACAAGTAATACTCCCTGTCTTTACCTCCTAAGAGGGCTGGAGAATGGGAGGACAAAACCAAAGGATTTTTACTTAACTAATACACAAAATGAAGATCAGTGTTACCTATATTCATAATCGAATACCTCTTTCCTTAGAGAGGCAGGTGAGCAAGTTAGAAATTCCAAATGAATGATTTTCCTAGAGAGGGAATCTTGTCCTTGGAATCAAGGACAACATGCAATTAAATTTGACTGCTTAAATGAAGATTTCTTTCTTGGATTTAAACTTAAATTACGCTTTAAATTATGTCAGCTTCAAAGAGGATGTAGAGCAGAACTGGTTAATTTTTTTTGCAAAAAGGAAGATAATTATTGAACAAAGAACAAACTTATAAAGCTGATCTGCCACGTTTCTACTGCCCTGATACTAAAAATCAGCTCAAACACAAATGCGTTAGGAATTACTGAAGACTGCAAAATAAAGCCAGTAAGGAAACATTAAAAGTGAGAAAAGGTATTGGTAGTGATTGTCATCCTGCATGACTTGTATTTGTTTAACTACACTAAGAGAATCAACAATTTGCGTAGAGTTGAAGCATCCCCTTTTTCCTAATCCAAGTTAATCAGTTTAAAAAACCAACGGTATCTGCTGTGCGTTCGTGGGTACAAATTCTCAATCACATTGGTTAAGCCATGAAGCCGGGCCCAAGATCATGCTCGAGGCATCCCATGCAGAGCAGCGGAAGCCCCCAGCTGTACTCACGCTGAAGACGCTTTAAACTCAGCTTCAAATGCACTGTCATCCTCATCATCAGCCTGTAAGACCACAGGGCTCTCAGCCTCCAGCTCACTAAATAGAGGCCAATAGAAGGTGATGGAAAACAAGCATGAATGTTTTGCCAAATGCAAAAAAAAAAAAAAGAAAAATAGAAAAAAGAAATAGAAAACCAAAACCCACTATGCGGTAAACAACATGGAACTACTGTTTAAATTATCTGGAGTCTTGTATTTTCATGTTGCCTGAAGCCATTAAGCTTTAGTCAACTCAGTTTGCCTTGCAAGAAGGGCTGCTTTTCATGTAACGAAGGATTTTAAGGGTCTAAGTTCACATCCAGTGCTAACAGGTAGAAACCCCCAAAGAACTTCCCAAATGTTATAATCAACACAAGATAATAATATAATCAACACAATACGCTCTTCGTGAAGCGTATCTTCGGTTTTGCAAATTGCACCTTCAGCCACGAGATGACAGTGTCCAGCTTTAGCTATCTGCAGCATTATGTGTCTTCACCTGAGCTAGTCAGCCAAACTCCCTTTATAGTCAAGAGAGAGAAACAGCCTGTTTCAGACCATGATTCATCTTGGTTGAAATTTCAGGCACGTAGAATACGTTAGATAACTGAAGGCCTACCAGTGCTTGCTGCACTCCACTGACATGAAAGGGAAGCGAGCTGATCCGACATCTAACAGGCAAAATTAATTCCAGCCCTCTTGTGTGGTAGTCAGACACGCTGAGGATGATCTGCAGCTCCCTTTTCTCCTAAGCATGCATAGCCCAAGCCAACTGTTATGGGATGGGGAACATCACTAGCCTTGACTGATTCCAGTGTTACAGACTGCTGCTCAACTAGTCATTACTGTCTCTCGCTAATTACAAAATATTAGATGTATTCAGGATTGCTGTGTAGCCTCAAAGGGAAATATTTATGCCGGAACGTTGATTGTAAAGGGGGGAAAAAAAAGAATGAACTGTAACGTATTGTGCTGATGGGAAGGGGGGTGGTGGTTAATGAAGATGTAGTGGATACTGTGGGACCTAAGCATGATGTAAATGGTATAGAATAGGGGATGGAGAATGTACTGGTTTTGGCTGGGATAGAGTTAATTTTCTTCATAGTAGCTAGTGTGAGGCTATGCTTTGGATTTGTGCTGGAAACAGTGCTAATAATACAGGGATGTTTTAGTTACCGCTGAGCAGTGCTTACAGAGTCAAGGCCTTTTCTGCTCCTCACACCCCCCCGCCAGTGAGCAGGCTGGGGGTGCACAAGAAGTTTGGGGAGGACATAGCTGGGACAGCTGACCCCAATTGACCAAAGAGATATTCCACACCACATGACGTGGGGGGAGGTTGGCGGGGGGGGGGCACTCCTTGGGGACAGGCTTGGCATCAGTCAGTTGGTGGTAAGCAATTGTTTTCATTTGCATCACTTGTCTGTCTTGGGTTTTATTTCTCTCACTGTTATTTTCCTTTTCATTACAATTTGTTGTTGTTGTTATCAATAATAATAATAATAATAATAATAATAATAATAATAATAATAATAATAATAATAATAATAATAATAATAATAATAATAATAATAATAATAATAATAATAATAATAATAATAATAATAATAATAATAATAATAATAATAATAATAATAATAATAATAATAATAATAATAATAATTTTATTCCAATTATTAAACTGTTTTTATCTCAACCCACAAGTTTCCTCACTTTTACCTTTCCGATTCTATTCCTCCATCCTGCTGGGGAGGCGTGAGCAAGTGGCTGTGTGGTGCTTAGTTGCCAGCTGGGGTTAAACCACGACATATATATAGGAGAAATAGCTCTGCATTAATGGGACTATGCCCTTGTTACAGTCTTCTATTATGTCACTATATTGAATATAAAATCTCTCAATGGGTGAGATTAACCTTGGTTAGTTCCCATATCAAATGCTCTACCTCACGTGGTGTGGGTCCATTTACTTAGGGCAGACGGTGCCAAAGAACGTAGCTACGTAGATAAAATAAGTCACCTACAAATCCATTTGTTTGTTTGTTTGTTTTCACTTTAAATATGCTTTTATTCCTTTTTGAATTCAGTGGAAAGAGGGGAAAAAAGTAAACAAAAGTCTGGCAGATTAATAAAGTGCAACAAACAGAACATAACAGAAAATAATAGGGGAAAAGGCAGGTCTATTCCCTAGCTCATACACTTACCTCTCACTGAGATCTTCAACACGCTGTCCGTGGCCCAACATGAAGCTAGGGTTCAACTGACTACACGGACTTGCAGGGGCTGATAAAGTGCTTTTGATGTTCTGTACCGAATGCCTGCGGCTCCGTCGGCGCTCCAGCCCCCTTCGCTCATTAGCACCAAGACTGGACCTTCTCCGGTCCTTGCGCCCACTGGGAGGGGGGTCAGCACTCTCATCTCCATCCTCATGTCTCAGTGTCATCTGAGGAAGAAAGGAAGAGAGGCAACGCTTCTGACATGGTTCCTTTAGGCACCACAGGTTATCACACCTAGGCTTTCAAAATTAACTGATCTCAAAATTGTTAACTCCTATTAGCGTCACCATTTCTATAGCTATCCCTGTAAGTTGATGTCTATCCCTTAGTGCGGTGTAGCAGCACTAATAATGGAACTATATACTGATGCCTTGTATAGAACACTACAGGACCTGTAACAACACATTTATATATCTCCTAGATTGATTTTTCATTTGTTTGGTTGGTTGTTTTGGTTTTTTTTTTATGTAGGACTTAATTTTCAAGGAAGCTGAGCAGTGTTGGACACCTAGCTCTCTTTATTTCCTTCCATAATACTTAGGTGAAGTCTTGACTCTAGTGAAATCAACTGAAAAAACTCTCATGACACTTGTAATGATTGAGTGGAAGTTACCATCTACTACTTTAGAAAGTATTTTAGAATAGTGTAATTGTTTCTTCCCAGAGAAGGAAAAGATCAGCAGATGTGTATGTAACTGCATTCCTCTTAAAAATCTCCATTTTTACAGATCTCCCTGCAAAGCAAACAAAGGAAAAAAAACAAAACTAAGAAACAATACTATTTGTGTGAACTGGTACCGCAACGGATTAAAAGAAAAAAATGCAGACCACACATGTCCTCTAAGCCTCCCAATTTTTGGGTTAGCATAATTACTTTCACGTATGCCTTTCAGTGGAAAATTCAGTATTTCCTGCCAGTTCAGAAGCACTGTCAATACAGAGGAACATATGTATAATATCAGAAAAGAATGATGCTGAGAATAGCATGGCCACAATGACATTTGACAGAAACTTCTGACACAGGTTGGGAGCTCATCAGTTGGGAATAGTAGAGGAGTAAAATACGGATGCCACACCTACTATCTTGAACTATAGCACACTGTTGACATGCCAATGTGACAAACCTCTAAGACAAACAAAGCAAGTGCTACCTTAGGGTACGAGAGGAGAGACATTGCTGGCAGAAACAACAAAGTTACTGGTGGATCTCATCTGAAATGGAGCATAACATTTAACTAATCTTTATATGAGAAAGATCCATTCAAATAGGCAGAGGTACAGAAGAGGGCGATGCGGGTGATCAGAAGAACACACATCATCTTGTTTCTATTAGTCTTGTTATCCTGATAATTGTTACTGGAAGTGACTTTAACAAAACAAAGGTGAGGGAAGTGTGATATCCCTGCTTAGGGTGTAAAATCTCTTTCAGTGGGGAAGAAGATATTTTTCAGATACAGACAACACTGGCAGAAAAAAGAAAGAATGTTCATAGGCATGTCTAAATTTAGACTGGTCATCAAGAGAAAGCTGGTACCCAGCTAAGCCAACTGCTAATTTTTCAATCAAGTCTATCAGGAGGCACAGCATGCGCGAAACCCCTGCTTTTAAGATCAACGATCATCTTTTAAAAAAGATTTTATAAGCTGATGCCTCTGACAATAGAAAAAGAAAAAAGAACATGGACCCCTCTCATTCCTATCTTCCTACTTTGGCCTGACTCTTCCTGAAACTGCTGTATACAAAACTTAACTTTGCTAAAGTTAGTGAAGTGACACGGGTGTAGACGAAGAAAAAGGAGAATCAAATCTACCAAATCGTCTGCTGGACTTAGGCGGAGACAAAGTCCATGATTTCATTTCATCACCCCAGAACATGAATTCGCATTTACATTTCATTAACTTCAGCCTAAACGTTCCCACTCCAACAGTTCCCGAAGTCTGAAAAAAAAGGCTAATTATTAAGAAACTGGATATCCTACCCTTACATATAAATACTTCAGAAATAGTTATTTTATACCTAGGTGGAGAATGTGGAGTCACTCATTACTCCATTGCTGCAAACTGTATAGGATCTGGTCCAGTGTAAACTCGTAAACAAGGACTTGCTGGGTATTCAGCTGCAGAACAAGTGGTATTTGTGAAGCTGAGCTCAGCCGAACCTTTTTCACGAGCTGAATACTTTTGCATATGGAAAGAACTTCTACTTACTTCAGGAGGTGTAACTAGCAGTCTGAGAAAGTTTTAATTGCAAGCAGAACTGCCTCTAAGGAGGCTAGTAAATGTGCTGGTTTGCCTTGGAGTATGCCCCAGCTCTAGTATGAAATGTACTTGCACTAAACGCAGCTGTGTACCGTAGCAGGTCACATATACGAATGTGTGTAATAATTCTAGCAACCAGATGTTTTTCTTTTAAAATAAAATAGATAACCAAATTTCACCTAGGTTACATTCCCCCCCTCCTCTCAGCTTTGAAGTCTGCACAAGCTGTAAGATGCATAAAACAGGGCATGTTATGTTACCTCATAAATGTTAAATTGCTCAACTAAGTCCAAGTCTGTTCCTTTCTTGTTCAAGTGTCTCTGTGAAATAGCTTCAATGCCTAGCTCTTCCAGACAGTCCACCACGTCGTAGAAAGAGTCTTGATCTGGCAACCCCGACAGCGTCTAAGAATCAAAGGAAAAACATTTAAATCTGTTTGTTTTGAAAAGAATTAAACAAAGGTTTTTAAAAGCGGGTGGCAAGTGGTGCTACGTATGATTTCAATAAAGTAAAACCCATGATGTGGGATTAGAGACACCGCTAGAAAATAAAAAACAAGTGGCACAGCTTTTAACAAACAACTCTGTGCACTGTGTAGAAAAATGAATAATTGGCAAAACAAATCAATGTTGTTATTTCATACAAAAAAGTATGGAAAATACGGGTCTTTAAAATACACAGTTGGATTCTTCCTGGCTTCATTCAAGTACAGATTTAAAGAACAGAGAATGTTAAAGCATCAAACACAGGGATAAAAGCGAAGAGAGTGAAAAAAATGGCTTAGCTAAAAACAGCGAAGCTGATTTCCTACTGATTCCTGTAAGTTTGGCCTGAAGAAGAAAAAGTCCAATGCACAGCTGTGCAATGTCAGGACAGCAGGAAATATCCTGCACCCTGTGCCTACTGTCCTCAACACCTGCAGCAGAGGTCATCCTCCGAGCGCACAAATTGTTTTATATTACAGATAGTAACTCCTTTCCTCTCCTTCAACTTAAAAAGTCTTATTAAAGGTACGTTAACTCCTTAACTCCTACAAAACTTTAAAAGAGTTACTAATTCCTGCTTATGGGCTAAGTTGTTACCAGTGACACTGTAGAGGAGCTTTGGCACACTAGAAATAAAGAATGACAATAAAACAGCTATTGAAAATGCACTGTTAGAATTCAGAGCTTTCTATGCCACCCGCTCTGTGTTCAACAGACAGCATTTTTCTTACCATGGTCATTTCCCATTTTTTTTGTGAATTCAGAAAACTGAGAAAAGGAAGGTGGTCTTCTGCAGTATACCATGTATACCAAAGTATGCCACTGCAGCGTATGCAGCAAGAGGGATTGAATCAAGCCACTCGCAGCTTTACTGCAGAGTGATGCATGGGCAGAGGACATGGGCACTGGACAACTTTGTCCAGAGCACAAGCGAACTTCATCCACTGGAGTCCCATAGACACTTACAAAGTCAACAGAAAACACTACTATTCTGGTTTGCCATTGATTTCTGCTCAACTTGTGCTGATTTTTTAACTGCTCCTTATGGATGATGCAAAAAAAACGAGTGTAATCCTGTGCACGTTGAGCAGAAACTACTGAACACACCGTGCAACCTACTTGCAGAGCAACATGCAACTCATTGCAAGAATCAGTCTGTAAAGAGCCATTTTTGCAAAGTACATGAGTGCAGAAGCAACACAGTTATTCTGGATTAGCTCACCAGAGAGATCTTACTCTGAAGCAGTTTCCTCTCTCCTATTTAATTAGCTAAGAACTTATCTCTACTCCCAGTAGAGGAGAGAAAGAGTAAAAGATAGAGACAGTACATGCAGAAAAACAGGCCCTTGCCAGAAAGAGTTTCATCTTCTCATGACCAGGATGGGATGAACTGCACTCTGAGAATACTGGTTTTCGGGAGTGTGGCTTTTCCAAAGTGGTACTGTGCAGGAGAATGCAGAAGAGAGCAGCCACTCTGGGCTGCCTCCCTACATCCAAGAAGCTTTACATTCAGAAAAATTGGTCTGAATTATGTGACTAACAAGAGAGAGGAACAGCGAACTGACATACCCTGCCCTGTTAAAGCAACTCTTTCCTGTGAAATGAGGCACTGGAAAATGTGCATCACTAAGGTACTTTAATTTTTTTTTTCAACTAAACACAACACGGCAACATCTTCTTCTTCAGTCATTACAGGATTATTGTCTGATAATTGGTGAGGTCCACTGCAACAGGAATGCTTAGCACCAACACCAATGAAGTGTTAGGGTTATAATTTCAGGGTTATATGTTCAGGCTTTAGTTAAGAATTTGTCTCTGTCCAGGACAGTATTTAAGCCTCTCTTTAAAACCCACTGAAGACCATGGAACTAAATTTTCCTGAACAGTGTTGAAAGTAGATACTACGTACATTTTGTTCTTTCCTAAAGTGACACCTAGCATTGAGTAGAAAGCTGAGGATTCAGCAAACGAAGCTATCACACTGTAAATTCAATGGAACTTTAACACAGACATGGAAATATTGTAACAGAACACTATGTCTATCACACTTTCTCTTGCTTCTGAAAGAAGCAGACAGCAGCTGCGCTGACCTGAGTGTCTTCAGGAACAACAGTCAGATCTTCTGAATATTTACTTCTTAAAATATCAGGAAACGGTCTTAATGTTGATAGGCAGATCACCCGCCTTCAAGTATAGCTTTTTTTAAAATCTGAGGTCAGGCAGGCTGTAGACAAGGAAAATAGCAGCATAAGGTAGAATTTACTGGCAACCCTGCTTCTGTCAGCAGCCTTTTATTGGTTAATATAATTTTAAATCATGCAGCAGTGGAAATCTAATCTTCACTGCATGCTACTGGCCAGAACTGGGCAATTGAACTCCCAAATATAGAAATCAAATATTTTCCCTTTGCACAGTTTGTCATTAAACTCACAGATCCGTTTTTGGAGCCTATTGCATATAAAATTCAATTTCTAACATTATAAAACAGGATGTAAAAGGGCACCTCTGGTGTCACAACAAGGTCAGTTCAGTTTAGCCCAGGAGAAAGATATTTGCAGCAACTAAACACAAGGGACATGAGGTGCTTGCATAAATGACTGATTAATTCTGGCTTGTGATATTAGAAAACAAGAGTGGGCCCCCATTTTCTTGGTGGCTTTATAAAGGAAACAAAAGCTGCAACCAGCAGAGCAGAGGCAATAAATTGGGCACGTCCTTCCAAGGTCCTTGTTCCTTCCCAAGTACCTGGTGAAGTTCAAAATGATACTACAATATCAAAATAAACATACAAGTCCCAAATATTTCCTCCTGCTCTGAAGACTGAACTTTACAATATGAAAACCCGTCCAGAGAGTTAAAATTTAGTCACTTGGAGAAGCATGTTTAAACCATACTCTGTAGTTTGCTTGCTGAATTTTGTTACGTTCAGAACTCAGGTGCACAAAGGAAGCATGAATATGAATGTCAAGACTCATCCCTACGCTTCTAACCAGTTTTGACTAGAGGAAACACTCCTGAATTAAGATTTTTATTTGTTTGTTGTGTGATTTACAAGTTGCTCTCAAGCCCTTGTGGGAAAGCCTATGCAACTTTGTGTTCTTCCCTCTCAAGTGGCTGCTTTTCAAATGGTGAACTAAATTAAAACCAAAACCCCAGCCTGGGACTATTGAGCTTGATATATCTTCTGTATTTTTGCCACTTATTTTAAGCCTAAACAATATGTTTTACCTACTGCTAACTGTAACAGTCCCAGTGGAAAGGAAGGCAACAAAACTGATGTAGTAGTATTGGGGGTAAAAAAAAAAAAAAAAAAAAAAAGTTTTGTAGTTTTGTGGGAATATAACAGCCAAATGTTTTCCTAGGTGATAAAAACTATTAGACAACATGCTCAGCTGGTAACAGCATGTTATCCTTATCACTATGTATCCTCAGTTACATTTCTGAACAAAACCTGACATTAATTAGTGCTATGCCTGGCTTCAGACTGAAAGGCTCTCTTTATTTTCAGTTTTTAAAATGTGCAGCCCTGGCTGACACTAGCTAGTAAAACCAGTAAGTATGGTGCCTTCTGTCATTTACGAAACAATCACAGTATAAATCAGTGGTGCAGAGAGGGTACAGACAACAGAAAGTACAGCTAAATGCGTTTGGTGCGCAACGCTTTACGTGCAAGTCCAAGTAATGTAAGAGTACTGCTCTGGTTACTAAATGCCCAACAGAATGGGCTTCACTAGACGGCCCAGGCACCAGACAGAGAGACACTATTGAAATCTTACATGCTACAGTGAAAAGCACTAGATGGTAAATAAACATGCTTACGGGCATTAGCCAAATTTTCAATTGCTTTGGGATGGAAAGAAGCATCTCTTATGTACATGTTTTCCCAGGAACCGCAACTTCTTCTAAAACATCTGGTGTGGCCAACGTCAGACACAGGACGTAAGATGATCATTGTTCTTGTGTGGCAGTTGAGATGTTCTTAAGGCAGGTCACCAAAAACTGATGTGCCAGCTGCTGTATTAATGCCATACTGGACTGAAACAGCACTTTTTCAGCTACAGCTGACGGACCACTCACAGGTGGTCCATCACTAAGCTCCCACTAGTAACCACTGGCTTGGAAGCAGGTGCTTAAATTCTAGTCTTATACCGGACTTTTTAAAAAACATTCAGTGCTTAGTCCAACTATAGCAGACTGTACTAATTTTTATGTACCTCATAATTATTTTATCTACCTTTTTTTTTTTTTAAATGTATTGTGTGATATGAGAGAACAAGCAATATTAAATACAGGTAAAAAGAAAATCAAGAGTAATCTTACAACTACAAAGCTTCCAATAATGAAGAGGTTTTATAGCAAGTAAATAGAAAGTGAACTGAATGCAACACAAAACTTTCTACATTTGACGAGTAGGGTGTTTTTTTTATGTAGAGGAAACACATGAGCTTCCAACATGAGCCAGCAATGTGCGATTGCAGCCCAGAAGGCCAACCGGATCCTGGGCTTCATCAAAAGAAGTGTGGCCAGCAGGTCAAAGGAGGTGATTCTGCTCCTCTACTCCACTCTTGTGAGACCCCACCTGGAGTACTGCATCCAGCTCTGGAGTTCCCAACATAAGAAGGACACGGACCTGCTGGAGCGGGTCCAGAGGAGAGCCACGAGGATGATCCGAGGGCTGGAGCACCTCTCCTATGAGGAAAGGCTGAGAGAGTTGGGGCTGTTCAGCCTGGAGAAGAGAAGGCTCCGGGGAGATCTTATTGC